GGCAAGGAGCAGCATGGCTGAGACAGACCAGAGAAAGCGTCACATTCAAATGTGAAAGCTGCATCGCTGCCATCCACCTGCACACCTCGCGTTTGCCTCTCCTGGTCTCTAAATGACTAGCAGGCAATATGGTCTCCTGCACTGGGGAAACAGTTTCATGAGTGGGACAGCAGGGAAGCATTCTTTGCTTCGTTCTGCACTTCTCTTCGTCTAGGTTTGCTTGGGGCAGGGGGACCACCAGGGAAGCCACATTCAGACAGTGCAAAGGCTTCCCACTGAAGGGCCGAAGGGCCGTGAGGCCCAGGGAAAGAATGTCACTCATGTCTTGCCCTGACCCTGAGCCCCGCTCTTGTCCCCTCCAGAGTCTGTGTGTCAGGGCTGTGCTGGGACACGGTATACCCTGCAGCTGTGGGGGTGGGTGCTGGCACACAAGCAGGCAAAGGCAGACATTAGGGGACCTTCTTCCCCCCATAAAGCGCTATTTGAAGGCAGAAAACATTCTGGCCTCCTTTCCTAAGCATTTGGGGAGTGTGTGTGTATGTGTGTGTGTGTGTGTGTGTGTGTATGTGCTGGGGTTCCAAAAATAGAAATCCAGGTCAAAAGCCAACTGAGTAAGAAGGGAGAGGATCTTTCTTCTGAAAGGGAGGTAAATACCGAGGTACGCCGCCAACGTCGTGGGAAAGCGGGCAGTCCTGATGCTTCACGGTAACAGGCAATGAAGGATCATAACGCAAATTAGCAGTGCCTTTGCCTTTGTGAAGATGTCTGTCTAAACACAAGATCATATGGAGGAGAAATGAATGACATGTCTGGTGCTAACAACGGCCCGCTGGGGCCAGGAGATGTGGGTCCGGAAGCCATTCCTCATGGCTCCACTGCCAAGGTCGTGGACAGCTGCTGCAGAACTATTTACACACAAGCCTCCAGAAGGTCCAAGGTCATGGCAGCCACTTGGGCCTGCAGGCTCGGGTCAAAGGGAGCTAAACACAGCGACTACCAGGGCTTTTAGAGAGGCATCAATGGGTCAAACAAGTTCTCCACTCTGGACGTAGATTCACAACATCTTGTCGCAGATGGAAAGAGCAATGGGGCAAGAACTGGTAAACAGAAAGAATATGAAGATTATCACAACCCAAACAAGCAATGGTGGTGGGGATAGTCGGGTGGAGGGGGCGGTGAAAGCCTGCAGGCACTTCACACACATCTGAACTCGAGCTAACATGGAGCTAGCCCTGAGGACAAGCTTGGAGCTCCGGAGCAAGATGCCCATGAGAGGTGGAAGAACCCAGAGAGGAAAACCTCTGTCAGAAAATCCACGTGACTGCATGCATCGCCACTGTGTCATGGAGAGAACCTTCGGAGCCATGGCCAGGGTAGATGTGAAGTCAAACCCACAGCCTGTCGGCTAAGACCTGAACAGGGATTTCCTCTGCAAACAGTTCAGTGTATTTAAGGGCAATACATTGTGGCAGAAGTCAATTCCTGCTAATAAAATGTGCTAGAATATTCTCCCAGGAAGTTGTGTCCTGAATTCGACTGCTCACATCAGGCAGTCTAAGTAAACATGGTAGGACTTAGGAACCCTGAGGCATCGTCTGCTAGGAAAAGCAGGGTTTTCTTTTTTATTTGAAAGGCAGAAGGGGGGGGGTGGTCTTCCATGTGCTAGTTCACTCCCTAAATGACCCCACTTACCAGGGCTGGGCCAGGTCGAAGCCAGGAACCAGGAGCTTCCTCCAGGTCTCCCACATGGGTACAGAGACCCAGGCACTTGGGCCATCTTCTGCTTCTTTCCCAGGAGCATTAGCGGGGAGCTGGAATGGAAGAGGAGCAGCCAGGATTTGAACCAGTGTCCACATGGGATGCTGGCACTGCAGGTGGAGGCTTAACCCACTACACCACAGTGCCAGCCACAAGAGCAGGCTTTTCATGTCCTGGAACTCAGAAAATGCACAGGCCCTTGGCCTCCTGGACCCCATGTCCTCTGTCCAAGGCATCTCCTGCTTCTCCATTTCCTCATGCTGTTGGGCACTAAAGCCCTTCATAAATGATGAGTGCAAAATTGACTTCCTTCTTCCTTACTGAGCAACCACAGCAACCTGTCTTTGTCATGAATTGAACTTCAAGGAAGAGTAAAGGTCTATTTGCAGTCAGAGAGAAACCCCAAGTTGAGTGAAAATTGCTTCCCAGGCCCTGTTATGGATGAGAGCCACTTTTGAGATGATCATGAATTCCATGGGAGTGATGGAGAGAGAATCAACTTCTACCCTACCTTACCATCAATCAGCTAATCAGCAAGTCCAGCGGAGTATGTGGGCTTTGCCGTATCTCTTGTGTTGCATGAGGTTCTGGGAGAATAAAATGTTACTGTGTGTTTAGAGCTGTATTCAAGCAATTTGACCCATAGGACTGAAACGCTCAGGTACAAGCAGGAAAATGTAGAATGACTTAAACAACTGCTTCATGAAAGGAAAACACCCAGAACAGGTTTACAATTCAACAGATTAAAATGTCTCATTTGGCAACAAATTATGATACCTTTGACATTTTTAAAAAATATGTGTTTGAAAGACAGAGTTATAGGGCTAGAAGCAGAGAAAGAGAGAGATTTTCCATCTGCTGGTTCTATCTCTCAAATGGTTATAATGGCCGAGGCTGGGCCAAGCCAAATCCAGGAGCCAAGAACTCCATCAGGGTCTCCCACATGAGTGGCATGGGTCCAAGTACTTGGGCCATCCTCTTCTGCTTTCCCAGGTGCATTAGCATGGAGCTGGACTGCAAGTGGAGCAGGCAAGACTAGAACTGGCACCCATATGGGATGCCAGCACTGCAGGCAGTAGCTTTGCCTGCTATGCCACAAAACCGGCTCTGTGTTAATATTTTTGAAGTTTCTCTATAACAATATTTTTAAAAGCTTTAATTCTATTTTAATCACACCTTGAAACAACTTTTTGTACCCCAAATCAACTGGATTCTGGAGCCAGTCTATTTCATATACCAGATCCAAACTTTCCTTCCATAGGAGTGTTAAGCCTGAACAGTTTGGATTTCCTAAGTTCTAAGTTATTTTAGAGAAACAATTAAGCTTTGAAATTTAACTTCCTTAAGGACAGACACTGTGGCAGCACGGGTTAAAGCACCAGTTAGGAAACCCACATCCCATATCTGAATGCCTGGGACTGAGACCCAGCTCCACTTCCTATCCAACTTCCTGCTAATGCGTATCCTAGGGAGACAGCAGGTGATGGCTCAAGCACTTGGATCCCTGGCGCCCATGTCGGAGATCCAGATGGGGTTCCTTGCTCCTATTTGCCTTTGCTCAGCTCCAGCTGTTGCAGATATTTGGGGAGGGAGCCAGGAGATGGAAGATCTCTCTCTCTCTCTCTCTCCCTCCTCCCTCCCTCCCCACCTGCCTTTCAAACAAGTAAAAATAAATAAAACTCTTAAAAAAGACATTTAGCTCCCTTAGTTGTTGTTATTGTACTTCATTTCCACACTATGACTTTTTTTTGAAGACTGATTTATGTATTTGTAAGGCAGAGTTAGACAGAGAGAGAGAGAGAGAAAGAGAGAGAGAGATCTTCTATTTCCTGGTTCCCTCCCCAAAGGGCCGCAACCAGAAACCCGGAACTCCACGAGAGTCTCTCTAATGAGTGGCAAGGGTCCAAGCACTTGAGTCATCTTCTGCTGTGTCCTCAGGTACACTATTAGCAGGGAGCTGCACTGGAAGTGGAGCATCCAGAACATGAACTAGTGCTCATATGGGATGCCAATGTCACAGTGGTTTAACCCACTGTGGTGCAATGCCGGCCCCCACATCATTAATTTTTTTGTTTGAGAGGTAGAGTAACAGAGAGAGAGAGAAAAGGAGAGAGAGAGAGAGAAAGGTCTTCCATCCACTGGTTCACTCCCCAAATGGCCACAACATCTAGAGTTGGACCCACCCAAAGCTCGGAGCCATGAGCTTCTTTCTAGTCTCCCATGTCAGTGCAGGGGCCCAAGCACTTGGGCCGTCTTCTACTACTTTCCCAGCCCATAGCAGAGAGCTGGATTGAAAGGGAGCAGCCGCGACATGAACTGGTGCCTACATGGGATGCCGGCACTACAGGAGGAGGCTTCGAGTAGCATTTGCTAGTGTTTCTTTCATGCATAAAACTATAAAGAACATACTAATGCCCTGTAATCCTACCACCTGGATAACTTTGGTAACATACAGTGAATTGTAGGCCTAACAAAAAGCTAATCCCCGTGTATCATGAGCGATCCAACAGCACTGAAAGTTGTTGACTGGAAAGCAACATTCTCCTTCCTCACCCTCCTCTGGCCCTTCTCACCCTGATTATCCACGATTCTTTCAAAAACATTTTTCTCAGATGTGGGAATCTTCACAAAGTTCACGAAAAATTCACAGGAGAAAGAAACTGTGCACGTTTTTGAAAATGCTTTGTGCCAAAATAAACTAATCTTTCAATTTCATTTTTCCAGGAACTTTTTGAAATACCTGTATACCTAAGTATGCTTTATACTCGTACCCAGACACACACACGCATACCAACAGGTTTTAAAATTCTTCATAGAGGGGACTGTATAAGCAATACCCGCAGGGCTTCATCTGGTTTATTTGCACATAATTAAGTGTGTTGAAGAACTGCCCACACGGGGCACAAATAAATCAGTCTCGTTCCTTTTTAAGAGCTGCTGATCATCTAGTTCTGTCGGATGCCATGTATCTCCAATGTAGTCTACAAAACACTTCAACAGCCCTTTATTGGTTGGCATGTACATACTTTCCAGTTTTGTTTTTCTTCAACAAAAAATGCTGAGATAACATCCTTTTTTTATAGCTGAGCTCTTTTTTGTGTGTATTCATTGATTAAATTACTAAAAGTTGAATTTTTAAAACTAAGTTTTCTTTTTCAACCTATCATAAACTTTTGTATTGCCTACAATTTAGAAACCAAAAAAAAAAAAGTTTTGTAATTGTGTTTAGATTAAGCAAAAAAAAAAAAAAAAAAAGGGAAACTTCATTGACATTCAGGTATGGAGATTTTTTAATTTTTAAAAAGTTTTATTTATTTGGAAATCTGGGAAGGGGAGGGAAAGAGAAAGCGAAATAGAGAGAGAGAGAGAAATTGGTTTCCCATCTGCTGGAGTACTCCCCAAATATCCACAAAAGTCAGGACTAGTGGCCAGGCGGAAGCTAGGAGCCCAGAACTCCACCTGAGTCTCCCATGTGGGGTCCAAGTACCTGAGCTACCACCTACTGCCCCCCAGAACGCACACTAGTAGGAAACTGGTATTGGAAATGGACACTCCTACATGGGACGCAGTGCCTTAACCTCTGTGCCTAACGCCCACTTCCGCTTTATCTTGAAGAAACACTTGGAGTGAGGTCCGCAGAGGTGCTACTCGCACGCCAGAGGAATACAAAATGAGCTCAAGCAGCTAGTGCTTCCCGCGTAGTGGGCCGTGCAGAGAGTTCATGAAGAAATATGATCATTTAAAACTTACGGACACCTGATCAGACTTTGCTGGCCACGTCCCCCTGTCAGGAGCAGTATTATCCACTGAGAACATGGAAGGAAGCATCCACCTCTGGTCTTTCTCAAGGAAGATTTATGTGAAGCTGTTGGACCTGGGCCTCCACTGGAATCGCTGAAGATGATTTCACTGGATGAAATAACTCAGCCTTGAATGTCATCTAAAGTGGTTCTCAAGCCATGCATGATCGTGCCAGACCTAGATGTTGTAGAATAGAAGCCAATTTTTAGAGTCTTGCTTTCATTATGCGCAGACTGTTCATCCTATTGGGAAAAACTCAACTCCTTCTGCCAGTATCAGCAGCCAGACCAAACCTCCCGTATATCAGCGCCACCTGACAGACTGCAATTACGCCTCAGTTCACTGGGGCTGGGAAGAGGTCGAAGGGGACTGTGTCCTCAAAGAGAACAAAATAGCTGATGTCAGTCTCAATAGAATCTTCATCTTAAGGAAAAGGGAAACTGTGCCCAGAGCTAGATTTGCTCCATAAATCAAGCCAGATAGCTCTCCACTGGGCTAGACCCTGGGGTGCCGACTCCCCGGACCTTTTCCTGCCTCTCTCCTCCCCCTCTCTGCATCCAGAGGTGTCAGGGCAGGCCCAGCGAGGCCACCCCAGCCTGTGTGTGAGCATAACTGCTCTCCCGTCAGGAATCCCTGCAAGACACGCGCAAGTCTCAGTCTCTTTTCTGCGGCCCTAACAAAACACCGGAGGCTGGGCACTCCACAATGAAAAAAGGTTTGTTTCCTTCACGGTTTTGGAGGCTGAAAGTCTAAGAGCAGAGGCCCCCTCTGGCCTCTACGAGGGCCTTCAGACCAGGTCACACCACAGCACATGACATCATGGTGGAAGCTCCCGTGACACACGGCCAGACAGGAAGCAAAGGGAGTCAGAGCCCAGCTCCCTCTTCCTATAACTTCCTGCTGCAGGAGCAAATGGGGGCCACACAGGAACCAATCAGGTTCCTGCAAGAAACACATTAATGCCTTCCAAAGGCAGCACCCCAGTAGCCTCATCACCTCCCACTGGGCACCCCAACTCGGACCTTGCACAGTGGGGCCCAGCTCCCAGCACACAGACCTCTGGGGGCTGTGCTCACATCACATCCAAACCCGAGCACACCACCTCTGGGAGACTGGGGAGACAGAAGCCCCATCAGCTCCTTTACTTTTACCATGAGTAGGGAGCTTTCTCCCACCAGTCGACTGTACTCTTAGTCAATGAACAGTCAGAAATTGGGTGGACTAAAACACAGGCAGGGCTGGCGCCGTGGCTCACTAGGCTAATCCTCCACCTGTGGCACCGGCACCCCGGGTTCTAGTCCCAGTCGGGGCGCCAGATTCTGTCCCGGTTGCCCCTCTTCCAGGCCAGCTCTCTGCTGTGGCCCGGGAGTGCAGTGGAGGATGGCCCAAGTGCTTGGGCCCTGCACCCCATGGGAGACCAGGAGAAGCACCTGGCTCCTGGCTTCGGGTCAGCGCAGTGAAAAAAGCCGGCGCCGTGGCTCACTAGGCTAATCCTCCGCCTTGCGGCGCCGGCACACCGGGTTCTAGTCCCGGTCGGGGCGCCGGATTCTGTCCCGGTTGCCCCTCTTCCAGGCCAGCTCTCTGCTGTGGCCAGGGAGTGCAGTGGAGGATGGCCCAAGTGCTTGGGCCCTGCACCCCATGGGAGACCAGGATAAGTACCTGGCTCCTGCCATCAGATCAGCGCGGTGCGCCGGCCGCAGCGCGCTGTCTGCGGCGGCCATTGGAGGGTGAACCAACGGCAAAGGAAGACCTTTCTCTCTGTCTCTCTCTCTCACTGTCCACTCTGCCTGCCAAAAAAAAAAAAAAAAAAAAAAAAAAAACAGGCAGAAAACACAGTCAATTACCTATCCCTGCCCCTGAGAAACTCCCACTGAGAATCAGATACTGATCTTGAGGAGTTAATGGGGGCTGGGCATGGTGGCACAGCAGGCTCAGCCACTGCTTGGGACACCTGTATCCCACGCTGGAGTTCTGATGCCAGTCCTGGCTCCTCCACTTCCAATCTAGCATCCTGCTACTGCACCCTGGCAGGCAGCACATGACGACTCAAGTGATTGGAACCCTGACACTCACAAGAGAGACCCAGATGGAGTTCTGGGCTCCTGACAGCCTGGCCCAGCCCTGGTTGTTAGCAGGTATGTGGGAAGTGAAGCAGCACATGGAAAATCAATTCTCTCTTTCACTCTCTCTTTCAAATAAAAATAATTGTTTAAACAAATGGAGGCAAGGCCCATATGACCCTTTGAATCTCTGGATCAAACCAGACCTGAAGTCAATTCAGCTTTGGATGGTTCAGTTATTTCAGCCAGAAACCCTAACCCCCTTTTTAAAACCAAGCTTTCTGCTACTTGACACAGAAACATTCTGCTATCATCATCTGAGAATTCTTCAGTCAGTCTAATTATAAATCAGTGTGAATGAAGAGAAAGGTACTTGCAGGCCAAGTGTTGCTCTCACACAGCCTTTCTTGGGCAGTTATACCAAGGATGATCAACATCAGCCTCAGACAGAACGAACCACACCAGGGAGAACCACAAAGAGAAGAGTCGGAATGCAGCTCTGTGCGGGGCAGCTGCAGATTTCATGTCTGATAGTAGTGTTTGAAGAATGGAAAAATTTAAAGGTGCAATAAAGCCAACATTGTTAGGAAAAAAAAATAAGCAGTTGGGAGCTCCAGGAAGAACAAGGAAAGGAAATATAAACAACCACATCACTTGGATCTGCAGTGAATAATATTTACATGATGAGGATAACATAAACACTTCATTGAATTTCAGCTTTTAGAATCCAAGTATTGACACGGCACAGATGAATTTGCCATTTCAGAACAAAACATAAATAGCACCAACCTTGACAATGTGTTAGCTGTCAAGCAGAGCCACAGCAAGAGAAGCAGAAAGGGAAAATGGCACAGGGAAGGAACTATGAGCCTGGATCCATCTCTTAGTAGTTGACGCAAAAGAAATAAATGTATGTGGGTACTTCAAAGGGTTAATGGAAAAACGGAAGGAAAGGGAAATTTATTTTGACACAGTGGAACACCTGCATCCCATATTGGATTGCCTGGTTTGGGTCCCACTACTCCGTTTCTGATTCCAGCCTCCTGCTAATGTGCCTCCTGGGAGGCAGCAGGTGTTGATTCAAGTAATTGGGTCCCTGCCACCCACGTGGAAGATGGAGACTGCATTGTGGGCTCCTGGGTTCAGACTGACCCAGTGCTATCCACAGTGGGCATTTGGGAGAGTGAACAGCGGATGGAAGATCTTCCTCTGCTTGTCTCTCTGTCTTTTGAATAAAATGAAAATGAATAAATATGCTTGTGGGGAGCAATCCGGACTGGACTAAGTTACTGGAATTAAGACTTATTCTATGCATCTGCTCTCCCACAATATGGCGCTGGGAGAGAAGTAAACAGCTTCCGCACAGCTGCCTCCAGTTCAACCAATAAACTGTAGGACTTGCTACTGATTGGAGGAGAGCAGCGTACTCGGCGTGTGGGCAGCCGAGGTGGGATTGGCAGAGGAGGACTATAAAGGAGGAGAGAGACGGCATGCACCAGGAACATCTAAGGGGAACGCCTGTGCAGCCCCTGAGAGAGCCGGCCGGCGGTGTGCCGCTCCCCTGCGGAAGTGGGGAATGTGGCCGGGGGAACTGCCCTTCCACGGAGGTGGAAGGGATAGTAGCCAACCCGGGAAGAACCAGCAGCAAACCCGGGGAGGGCCGAGCAGACGAAAGAATAGCGCAGGGTCCTGTGTCGTTCCTCCACGAAGAGGGGGAGCGACAATGCTTTTTAAAAAGATAAGCTATTTTGATGCAAAAATTGAAATCCATGAATAGTTTTTTCATAATAGGCATTTCCATGAAGTTTGAAGACCTCTCTTAAGAATGGATTGTAATTTTTTGCACTCAAATACATTTATCTTCTTAAAAAATTTTTAAAAAGTTTAAAAATTTTCTTTATTTAATAAATATAAATTTCAAAAGGACAACTTTTGGATTATAGTGGTTTTTCCCCCCATGACCTCCCTCCCACCCAAATACACTTATCTTTTAATTCCATTCTCCACAAACTTTTTGAAGGACCCTCATATAAGTATATAATTCAAAGCTACAAAAGCAACTGACAAAGTAGCAGTTCTATTGAGATATCATGCATACACCACACAATTAACTCAGAGTATAAAGTGTACAGTGTACAGCTTATGGATGTGGGGACTATTCCAGTGCATCCACTGCACAGTTCATTTTGGAGCATTTTCATCCAAAGTCCCACACACTTTAGCCATCACCCTTCCCACCCTCCCACTCTCCACCTGGCCCTAGGCAATCCTGAGCTCCTTTTGCCTGGTCTATGTATCTCATATGTAATTATGTAACACGTGGTCTTATGTCTTATTTCACTTAGTGTAATACTTTCAAGCTTCATCTGTGTTGTACTGTGCATCAATATTTCATTTCTTTCTATTGCCAAGTAATTTCCATCGTGCAGACAGACAACATATGTTTATCCATTCATCAGCCGAAGGGCACTTGTGTAGATCCACCTTTGAGCTATGACAATTAATGGTGCTAACGAATATTCATGAAAAAGGTTTTGTGCAGGCAAATGTTTTCATTTCTTAGATCTCTAATAGATCAGACAAAATGGTGACTCTGCTTAACTTCTCAAGGAATTGCCAAACCGATTGCCAAATGGATTGCATCATCTACTTTCCCTTCAGAGGTAGCACCTGTCATTATCCTAACGGACATCACGGTTTTTGATGCATTTCCCTGGTGGCTAATGTTGTGAGCATCTCTCTGTGTGCTTATCCATCACATACACATCTTCTTTGGAAAAGTACTTAGATACGTTGCCCTCAGTTGAATTGCCTTATTTGTCTTTTATGATGGAGCTATAGCTGTTCTTTATAAATTCTAGATACAAGTCCCCTATCAGATATGTAATTTGTGGGTTGTCTTTTCACTTGCTTGATAGAGACCTATAAAATACAAAAGCTTCAAAGTCCAATTTGTGTATTTTTTCTTTCTTTTGCTTATGCCTTTTATTCTACCTAAAAAAAAGCTCAAGTTTACAAAGATCTAACTTGTGTTTTCTTCTAAGAGTTTTATAGTTTGGGCTCTTTAGATATTTTTTTAAAAAACTCTTTTTGACTTAACTTTTGTATATGGTATGAAGTGAGGCTTCAACTTTATATGTGTGGCCACCACGCTGTTCCTGGAGCTGTCCTCCAGAGACACTGCACCTGTGCTTTCCTCAGTGAATGGTCTTCGCCTTTATTTCTGGACTTGTGGTTCTCTTCTGCTCATCTGTGTGCTTACCCTTGCACGAGTTCTGCGCTGGCTTGATCACTGCCAATCTGCACTATGCTTCAGAATAAGGAGGTCTGAGGCCTCCAGCTTTGTCTTTCCTTTTCAGATTGCTTTGGCTATCCTGGACGCCCTTCATTTCCATGAATTCCATGAATTTTAGGGTCAGCTCTGTCCATTTCTACAAACTGGAATTCCAATGGAGATCTCTATATGAATTTGGGAAGTTATTGCTATCTTAACAACACAAACTTTTTTGATCATAAGTGTAAGATAACTTTCCAACTCTGTAAATCTTTAATTTACCTTTATACTATTTTGTAGTTTCCAGAGTACACGTTATGTACTTCTTTTGTTAAATTTATTCCTAAATATTTTAATCTTTTTGATGTTAGTATAAATGGAATTTTTCCTTAATTTCATTATTTGGTTGTTCATTGTAAGTGTATAGAAATAGAATTGATTTTTAAATCCTGCAACTCTTCTAATGTCATTAGTTCAAATAGGTTTTTAGTGGATTCCTTATAATTTTCTATATACCAGATTAGGTCACTTATAAATGAGATATTTTACTTCTTCCTTTCCAATCTGGATACCACCTTTTTGCTTTCTTTCTTGCTTTATTTTTTTTTTTTACATTGTTGTCTTAGCTAGTATGTTCAGTACAATGTTGAATAAAAATGATGAGAAAAGACATCATAGCTATTGCTCTTTGACATTTAAATTAATTTAACCCTCATTGTCTGCTAAACAAATCAAAGTACCAAAACACATGTATTGGGGCCGGCACCGTGACACACTAGGTTAATCCTCCGCCTGCGGCACTGGCATCCCATATGGGTGCCGGTTCTAGTTCCGGTTGCTCCTCTTCCAGTCCAGATCTCTGCTGTGGCCCGGAAGGGCACTGGAGGATGGCCCAAGTGCTTGGGCCCCTGCACTTACATGGGAGGCCAGGAGGAAGCACCTGGCTCCTGGCTTCGGATCGGTGCAGTGCCAGCCGTTGTGGCCATTTGGAGAGTGAACCAATGGAAGGAAGACCTTTCTCTCTGTCTCTCTCACTGTCTGTAACTCTACCTGAAAAATAAATAAATAAATAAATCTTTTAAAAAATGTATTACTGTATTTGCAAGCATTTAAGATGAATGTAAAAATTAACCTGAATAGATCAATGAACCAACTATAAGTACCAAACCCACAAATATCTTAGAGTAAAACACAGAGGTAGGGCCGGTACCGTGGCATGGTGGGTTAAGCCACCTCCTGCCACACTGCAGGCATCCTATATAGGCACTGCTTCAAGTCCTGGCTGCTCCACTTCAGATCCTGCTTCCTGCTAATGTTCCTGAGAAAGCAGTGGAAGATGGTCCAAGCATTTGGGCCCCGGCACCCATGAGACAGATCTGGAAGAAGCTCCAGGCTCCTAACTGGCCTTCCTCAGCCCCAGCTGTTGAAGACATTTGGGGAGTGAGCCAGTGGATGGAAGACCTCTTTCTCACTCTCTCCCTCCCTCTCTCTGTTACTCTGCTTTTCAAATAAATAAATAATACATTATTTTTAAAAATCAATATTAACTGCTAAATAAGTTCCATAAAGAAAATATATATACACGTGTGTATATATGTATATGTGTGTGTGTGTGTGTATATATATATATATATATATTAGTTCCTTTTGAGTGGGACCATACCCTTGTAGATTTAGAGATTTATTTTTCTCCTAAATTTGAAGTGAGAATGGAGAAAATTTTTTTTCTTCCTGGGAGACTGTGTGCGTGTTTGTAGACTTCAAAAAGATTATGAAAATGCATATCATGAAAAGCTGTGAACCAAGCTGGAGCCCTATGCTGATGCCTGCATGTGGTGGTGAAACAGGCAGAACAGTCTACAGGCTGGAGGGGCATGTTGTGGACAGGGATTGCATGTCTAGGGCAGACTAGGAAGGGCGTGGGCAGAGAATAAAAACCCCTCTTGTTGCTGGGATTCGGGGTGTGGACCCTGGATCACAAGGTATCAGTCATGAGCCTTTTTTTTTAAATGACATAATCCCCCCTAGGGGTAAATTTATTTATCTATTTTTAAATTTTTTTTTAGAGATTTATTTATTTGAAAGTCAGAGTTACACAGAGAGAGAAGGAGAGGCAGAGAGAGAGACAGAGAAAGAGAGCGAGCAAGAGAGCTCTCTGCTATGGCCTGGTAAAGCAGTAGAAGATGGCCCAGGTGCTTGGGTCCCTGCACCCACATGGGAGACCTGGAAGAAGCTTCTGGCTCCTGGCTTTGGATCAGCGCAGCTCTGGCCATTGTGGTCATATGGGGAGTGAACCAGCAGATGGAAGACCTCTCTCTCTCTCTAGCTCTACCTCTCTCTGTAACTCTGCCTTTCAAATAAATAAAATAAATTTTTTAAAGGAAGGAAGGAAGGAAGGAAAGCAGAGCAAGGGTAAGTATGAGAGGGAAAAGGAGAGAGAGAGACAGACACACTGACTTAAACACAAAGATTCTCCATCTGCTGGTTCACTCCCTAGCTACCTGCAAACAGCTAGAGTTGGGCCAGACTGAATCCAGGATCCTAGAACTCAATCTGGGCCTCCCATGTGGGTAGCAGAGACCCAACTACTTGAGCCATCACCTGCTGCCTCTTAGGGTGTGCATTAGCAGGAAGCTAAAATCAGAAGCGGAGGAGCCTGGACCCAAACCTGGCACTCATTATGGGATGCAGGCTTCCCAAACAGCATCTCAACTACTGTGTCCAATGCCCATTCCAGGCACACTGTTTGATGCAAGGTGAGTTGCTTTCTGCAACTTGCTCATCTATTTGTATGTGAAATGGCTCTACTTCTTTAGAGTGTTTTTTTTTCCCCCACTGTGCAGATTCTTTATATTGGTGAGTCCCGTGAATTAATCAAGCAAATTAAAAAAAAAAAGTTGCCCCTCCTTCCCTCACACCTTTCCAATCTCTGGCTACCCATTCTGTTGATTTGGAAACACAGCAATTGAGATCCAGGCTGGCCAAGACAAAATCTCCCTTGACAGGCAGAGGCAAGGCAGAACAGGCAAAGACCAAAACTCTGCTTAGGTCTGAGAGAGAGAGGAAGCTGAAACACTCCACATCTGGGAATCTTACCTCTGTGGCATCAGCAGAGCCTAAGTACTTCCCCCATTCTAACTCCTAGTAGGTCCTACTGTCTTCTAGTCTGTTCCCCCTGCACTGTGAGATTCCTGAGGCCATGGATCCGTTCAGAACTTTCTCCAGCATCTAATGGAGTTCATGGCAGACACACAGGCCCTCAACTACATGCTGTACCAATGCTGCCACCTTTGAAATGACAGTACCTTATGCCACCAAGTCAGAAATGAAATGAAAACAAGAGTCCAGAAAATGCCACATGAGTTTCTAAGAACAGATTACTTAGAGAAGCAAAAATGCAAACAAGGTATCACCTGAATGTTCCAGTGTATTGTAGACATCTCTCCAACACAAGAAATGGAAACACTGTTGCAAATGAAATACCATGACTCCAAACACTGTGGATTCAAAATTGAGAGCTACCTGGTCCACTATTCCAATTTCAACATGTGTTATTTAAATAGATGACAAGAGATTGGGTCTTTTATGGCTGAACAGTTATAACAACGTATATTTTAAATCTTATCTTCTCCTTTCTTTTCATACAGGCTTGTTTTGATTGGACCACCAAAGGCAAATTCCTGCAATTTTATAGCCATGTGACATTGTTGTCATTGCTTTCAGCACAGGCCCTGATACATCTGTTAGTAAAGAGTCTAAAAGTATTCTCCTATGAGTCACTAAATGTCATTGCCAAAACCAATTAAACGCGTGCCAAATATGACAAATCACCAGAAAACTTTCAGCAATTTACAATGTTTTTGCTGAGAAAGGGAAATAAAGACGAGAAAGAGGTACATTTGCATAAAACTTTTTTTTTTTTTTGCTGGTGAGTTAAAGAAATTATACTCACCAACATTCAGTAATACTGACTACAGTCCACTGTTTCTCCTGCTGTTTTTCACACTGTAATTCATGATCATTAAGGATTCTGGTGGTTGGCCCTTTCCATTACTACAAAATATCCCTGTTCTTCCTGGGTTGAGAGCGCTAACTAAGAAATGAATGAACAAACTGTAAAAGAAGCAATGGCTGGGTTTCAGGTCGAATAATCACGCGTTGCTCACATATTTAACAGGCAGGCAGGTAAACTCTGAAGGAATTCTACATTTAAGGCAGTCTGGGGAGAGGAACTCTGGCTCAGTTACAAAGGCTTAGAACTGAGTTGTGGAGCACATGTCAGGAAGATACTTCGCTGCAGTTCAAGGGCAATAACTAGGTGAGTTGGCAGGACTTGTAGGAAATAGGACCTCTCACTGTGTGTAGGTCTTAATAGGAGACAGTGTCGATCTATCATGTTGTAAGATGTACAGGATGTAGCAGGCTACTTGATTTACCATGTGACTTCCCCACTAGATCTTTGAAGGATCATTAAGTAGAGAATTGGAGTGAGTGTTTTAATTAAAGTGAGGCTCTGATCTTTTTTCCCCAAATAGCCTAAAAATGAAGGAAAAGATGTGCTTAGTCCGATGCTAGGGTTTGAATGCATTCCCCCGCAAGTTCCCATGTTGGAAACTTAACTCTCAATGCAGCAGCTCGGAGGGGTGGTGGGACCTGGGCGGGGTGACTGCGTGACTACAACGAATGCGTGCAGATCTCCCGGGAGTGGATTAGTTGCCACGAGAGCACTGTGTGCAAGGTGAGGCCACCCACGGGGTTCTGTCTCTCCCACGTGCTCCCCCTTGCCCTGAGGCCCCTGTCACATGCAGCAGCCCCATCCTGAAGGTCCAGTCTCCAGAAACATGGGCCAAATAAACTCCTGCTCCTTATGACTCGCCCAGTCTCAGGTGTTCTGTTGCAACAACCCCAGGGTACGGAGAGTCAGAAGTGAACAGAGTGGGTGGGGGAGGCATTGGAGCCAGCAGTTAACACCCTCTTGTGCTACACAGGAGAACCTGAGGTCCACCCCTGCTTCCAGGTCCTGGCTCTGGCTTCCTGCTGATGCAGACCCTGGGAGGCAGATGCGATGCTCAAGTGATTGGGTTATTACCACTCATATGGGAGACCTGGATTGAGTCCCCAGCTCCTGGCTTCAACCATGGCCCAGACCAAGTTATTTCAGTCATTTGGAGACTGAATCACAGATGGGAGCTCTCTCTCTCTCTCTCTCTGCCTCTCAAATAAATGAATTTTTTAAAAAAGTGAATGAGGGGCTAAGAACTAGAACTGACAGCTATGGACAATCTTTTAAGAAGCTTAACTATGTAAATTTACATGAGAGTAGCACTGCCTGGCAGACACTGTGCCACTCACCATGAACCTGAAGAGTTCATAACAAGGTGGCTCTGCCTTTCAGTGCCTCCAGGGACCCAGAGGCCTCACTGCAGACCAGGGCCTCTGTGCATCAAGATTGCTGTGAACAGCCCTGGCACCCACACCTCACACGTTCCTCCTGGTCCTGGGGGCGGGGGCGGGGAGCTTAGGCACTGGGAGGGACTGACCCACTCTGTGTGTGAGGTCTGGTCAACTGGGAGATGTGTTTCTCTTTTCATTTTTGGCAGCAATCAAATGAAAAGAATTAAGCAGAGTTTTAAAATTTGAAATGCAAACAGGGACCTGATGGGTGGGAAGATGAAAAGTTATCATTTTTTGCTGATTTTTTTCTTGCATTAAACATAATTTTAGTGTTTTATTTAACATGACAAAAGAAATACATTCTCTGGGGTTGTACCAGACTAAAAAGCTTCTGCACAGTAAAGGAGCAATTAAGAGAGTGAAGAGACAACACACAGATTGAGAGAGAATACTTGCAAATTAAACATCAGACAGGGGGCTAATATCCAAAATATACACAACTCAAACCACTCAATAATGAGAAAATCAATAACCCTATTAAAAATGGGCAAGGAACTCAGACATTTCTCAAAAGAAGATGTAAAAGTGGCCAACAGATCTATGAAAACAATGTTCAACATCTGTACTCATCAGGGAAATGCAAATGGAAACCACAA